CGCTCAGATTATCGTGACTATGCAAGTACAATAAGACCCATTTTAGGAGACAAAAATCTTCAAAGTTCCAAATATTAAAATAGCTAATAAAGGATAAAAAATAGTGCTTGTTAGTACATTGACAAATGAACCAACAGCTCTTCAAGTAATTATAATTTGGCAGCGCAAATTAGCAAATAATTATATGGAAAAAAAAGTTAGAAATAGAAAAAATTGAAATAATTTAGGCAGTAACTAGGCCTCATCGATGTTATTGATAAGTGTTTCAAAAATCATATAAAAAAGTTAATATTAGATAATTATTTAAAAATAAACCAATTGAGACAATTGGAAGTTGAGATCCATTAAAATGGGAGTATAAACTTACAAATACTGTTTTCATAATAAGTTAAAAAAGTCGCAATTAGTTGCCAATAAGCAAATTAGGAACTGATTTGTGAGAAAAAGCCAATTGGCTAAATAAATGTTTGCTAGCGTGTGAACAAAGCTCGAAACCACTTAGTAAGACAGAATTTAGTAGATCCGAAACGAGAGCTGGGGGCATTGACTCATTTCGGCTTTCCAATCATTTTCTTGCAGGGCGTAACTTTAAAAAATCTGTAAAGAAAAAATAGTGTTATTTCAATATTAAAAAAGGATACAATCACGTTAAAACAAACATAAGAATATTGTATTCGTAATAGGAAATAGCCGTTCGTCTGCATCCACAAAACACTTCACTCATATGCAAGCATGTGGAGTAATCATGGAATAGCCAACGAAAGAAGTGGATGTCTTATTAAGATCTTAAGGCTAGGTTATAAGAGGTAGGCCTAATTGTAGCTGGCCGCCATTCATGGCTTAGTGTATAATAAATTTTTGTAAAGGAGCGTTTATATCCTTGACAGTGCAACAGACAAAGGCTTATCGCGAATTCAGTTGAGTTGAAGGATAGTGTAATAAGAACTTCTTCGATTAAAGTGACAATCACAGTTCCAAGACAGCCTGCTTTAAGTTTCCGGTTAGGTTAAGTTAGCAATCCCTTCCATCCAAATTTTCACTCTAAAAGAAGGTTTAATGAGATGAAAATATTAAGGCTGTCTAAAAACTCCGTTTTCTGCCAAATATAAAGTATTAGAAACGCATTTAATTCAACAGAAGTAGTTATACCATATTAACATACCAGAGCTTATCATACTGAGCGTTTAGCCAGAAGGCTAGCCAGAAGGGCCATGCGCACGTAGACACCGTACTCGGCCTGGCGGAAGTAAGCTGCCCGAGAATCTGAATCAAAAGACGGACATATCTCACCGACCCTGGGCAGCGGATGAAGCACGATCATATCACGGGGCTTTGCCAAAGTCATCAACTCTGGAGTGACAACAAAACCCTGAGCCACAGCTTGCTGCGAAGAAATATCATTATTAGCCATGCGCTCGAGTTGCACACGAGTCATATATAGCACATCCGTATCAGGCAATGACTCTTCCAAACTAATGAAGAAAAATAAGTGTAGAAGCATAAGGGGTTTGAAACTGTGTTTAAAAGTACGGTAAATGAGTGGGAATTAAATATACATATAATGCATGCAGTTAGTGGAGTTTAATGAACAATTACTACTAATAGTACCTTAGATAGGTTAAATATTGCTATGTTTGACTTTATGCTAACAATCTCGTTGATCTTATT